AAAAAGGGAAACGTTATATCACGAACGTGGCGTCTGGTGCAGAATTTGTTAAGAAGATTAAGTTAAAGGTACTATGAAATAAATAAGATCTTTGAAACTCTTTTTTTATTTTCGTTTTGAGAATTTGATTCTGACAGACGGAGGGGGACTTAAGAGTGGATATTCTCTACTCGAAAACGTTTTCAATATGCTGAAGTAGCCATCGATCCCAATTTGAAGAATTGCCGTTCTATAAATGCACAAACACTTAAGAGCCGTTCCACTCCGGAAATCGATAATTATCCCTACGCCCTTTCAGCACTTGCTTGAATGTTCATTCTTACTGTGCTGTTTGTTTCGGTAAAATAGTGCCAATTCCCGCTTACCAAAAATTAAAAGAAAAAAAACAACAACTATTGTTCAGATATATGAGATGATATATTTGATGTTCAATGCGACACGAGTTATCATTTGTGTCCATCGTGGGCATTATTGATTCTAGAAGCAGAAACTGATTCTACAGTAAACAATTGTTTGCACTTTGGCATATTCGAACTATTGTTCTTATCTTGATTATTGGGAACGTCATTACAGACACGACTTTTCGGCCAACTACCCTCTGACCTTCTTCAGTTGCCCATAGTTTGTTTATATATATATATATATTGTTTATACATACATATATATATATGTTTGTGTTTATACACACACACACATATATATATATATAAACAAACGTCTTATTTTTCTCTCGGATTTTCTTTCTCTTATTCACTTTCTCTTTCGTTCTCTTTCATTTTTTTATTCTTTCTCCTTCTCTCTTTTTCTCACTGCTTTCCAATTCTCTGTCTCATTTTCACTTCATTCATCTATCTGTTTTTTTACTTGCTATCTATTTATCCCAGTCTGTTCACATCTATCTATCTATCTATCTATCTATCTATCTATCTATCTATCTATCTATCTATCCCAGTCTGTTCAAATCTATCTGTCTCTTGTACATTTAATGCCACTTCCGTTCCCTACAGCTAATTTCTAACACAAAAAAAAACTGCATTGTGCGGATAATTACTTTTGACTAGACGTCGGTGTCATCCTATATCAATGGGCGGCCAACATTGTAGCGTATTCTTGAACTTGGTGTTTTCTAGACTCTTCAAACAAAGTAATTTTGTACGAATATTACTATCAAATGATCCCCTCATAAATCTAATGATCCTACCCTCCTCCTGCTTATTACCTCTTGAATAAAGAATTCCAAACCTTCAGGCTCTTATTCCAAACCCCGTTTATTCATTTTTGTGGAAAGTTCTAAGAAAATGATAATTTAGATTCCCGAAACTGATTTCATACAGATTTTAGAATTTCATTCAAATTATAATTCGTTTAATTCAAATATATGTTTTGGGGATTTTTTTATCATTTCACCCCAAATAAGGCAATAAAATAACAAGAATTAAAAAAACAGGAGATAACGATTGACATTGCACTTAAATTTTTGAAGATCAAAGGCAATAAAGCCACTAGGACACAAGGGGTTACTGAGTGTTAGAGAATATGAGAAAAACTACTATTAAGGAGAGGGGACAATAAAAGAACAAGAATTAAGAAGACAGAAGATAACGTTTGACATTGCATTTAAATTTTTGAAAAACAGAGTTGACTGGCAAGCAAGAAGCCGGAAGAGAGTTCCACATGCGAGAAGTGCGAGCGAAGAAACTGTTAGCATAGAAATTATGGTTATCTCTAGCCATTTCAACTGTAAAATGATGAGCCCTTGCCGCCAATCTAGTACGGCACTTCAGAACAATTACCCTGAAAGCATTTATAGGAAAGACATATGCTACAGCGGTGGGAAAGGGACTGAATCTGAGATGCCAGGCCAAGACAAATATTATTGCAGATTCTTCTCGGGATTTTATCAAGAACCTCTAAATATCTAGCAGGAGCGCCAGACCAGATGTAACGGCAATATTCAATGGATGGTTGAATGGTAGACTTAAAAATGTGTAAGATAGATTCTGGCATGAAAAATTGTCAAGCAGAATATACTGAACCAACTTTCCTAGCAAGAAGACCTAGCAAATGATTCAATACATTCCCCCTAATTGACAATCAGAATAACACAGAATAGAATGAAAAAAATTCTTCACTATTTTGTTTTTATGATTTATTTCTTTAAATGCAAATTGATTTTATCTAAAGCTAGAAAAAAAAGAAAAGTGATTTCTAGTCTAGAAGGAGAGAAAGAGGGGGAAGAGAAAGAGGGGGAAAGAGAAAGAGGGGGTAGAGAAAGGGTGGGGAAAGAAGAGCTAATTTGAACAATTACCATGAAAATATGTATAGAAAAGGCAACTTTACAAGGAAGCAACTTTACAGTGGTAGGAAAGTGACTGAAGCCGAGATGCCAGGTGAGGACCAAGAATATTACTGTTTTTTTAGATTTTATCAAGAATCTCTAAATATATAGCAGGAGCACTAGACTGTGGCAGCAATATTCTAAGCCTGGATCAATGGTAGAATTATAAAAATGTAAGATAGATTCCGGCAAGAAAAATTGTCTAGCACAATATATTGAACCAACTTAATTAGCAGCAAACCTAATAACTGAATCAATATAATCGTTCCACTTCATGTCAGCGGAAAAAGTTAGCCAGACAAGGCGCAATGAGTCATTCCCCAGGAGGTTAGCATCAGCCATACTAATTTAAGGTAAAAAAAGGTCCTCTTAGATGATTAAGAGAGAGCAGATTTGTTGAGAAAAGAACATTTGTAGGGCTTCATCATTGTTAAACAAGTACGTTATTTATGCCTTTCTACAATCAGTTTATGGCCGGTGCAAGTGTCTCGTGGTACCCCCACGATCTATGACACGACCCCGGCGAATCTATGATACGCCATCACTCTACTGTATCTCAATTTTCATATAAAATAAAAAATTGATTGCAACCTAATTATTTACAATAATGGATCATATGCAATATAGATGAACAATTCAACTAGAAAACTTGAAAATTAAAAAAAAGTATCTAAATACAAATTAGAGACCTGTCATAATAGATCATTCCATCTTAAATAAATCAATGTTTTGCAGCAATATTTAATATCAACTTGTAATCATTCTTGTTAAAAAGTTGAATAGTTTTAAGACATCCAACATTATGGCTATAAAATAGTGAATTTTATTTCGTGTTTTTTTTTTGTTTTTTTGTTTTTGTTTTTTTGAGATTTAATATGAACAAAACAAATTTACGGATTTGGACGGAAAAAAAACAGAATGACATAAAAATTCACGAAAATTTGTCATCCTTTAATAGTTGAGTTTTGTTTAATTCGTAATGTATAAAAATGTAGATAGAGAAAAAGCAAACGTTGATAAGATAGCGAAGGTCACAAAGCACTGCCTCGGAATCCCAATCAGGCTTGGGCTCCCCCATCGGTCGGGGGAGGGTACGGGGGTCGTATGCACCGGCCCTGTATGCCTCTATACAACAACAAAGACGGCCCATGAACATAAGAATAACAAACGAAGGACATTAGACACAGGCTTTGTAAGGTTTATATTTATTTGCGCTATAAGTTTTGATATAGAAGAAAATTGTTTAAATTTTCTTTAAATAATTTTCTGTTATGTTTACATAACATCTTTTCATTCGAATAAACTAAATTCTAGAGAGTAATCCTCCCCACTCCTTCTTTTCCAACCACCCAGCTTATTGCTACTCCCTCGTTTATTAGAGTTTGAAAAGAAATTTCCAGCCTCCCTGCTTATTCCAAACCACTTTTTTTTATTATTCAAAATCTGAAAGTATCGACTAAGAAGTTAAAAACTCATTGGTTACATACATTGTAGACTTCTACTTCTCGGCCTGTGAGGGTTCTTTCTTGGGCGTAGGCCTTCTCCAGATCATAAGGTGGAATGGGCCATAACTCTACCGTACTGATTCAATGCGTGTTGGTAATGGCGGGTGTAACACTTTAAAATGATCTTGCTTCTTTTCGATTCATGATTACCTAGGCAGCTGTTCCCGCTGTAGGTTGCCATCTCTTTCTGTGGTTGACTCGTTACCTCCATAGATATACGATTTGGTTTGTCTTACTATTCATCCCATAGCTGGGGGAGAAGAGATGCCTTCATACATTTCCCATACTCATGAGTAAATGTAACAGACCCGACTGGAATTTGAACTCAGCTCTCCGATTTCCAACTTGAGGTTACCATACATTACATCACCCACACATCCTAGCTTGCAGCACCATGCATTCCTAAGCGGTCGCCCATTTAGGTACAACACACAAAACATCAAGAGCCACTCAAGGCAGAGGGTTACTTAATAAAGTGTATAGTATGAATGTAAGAGTAGGAAGTGCGAAGCGAGGATCATGTGGATATGTAGAACAGGTTTGACCCATAACTTGAAGAGGTTAAGATTGTAGCACCGGGGAAGCACCCACGTGGGAGTTTTATCAGGATTCTTTAAACTATTCTTGAGCTTTGCAATCTATGAATGGACCGGATTGTTTCACAAGTGTGTAAAGCAATGATTACCAATCTAGTCGCGCGAATTAGTTTTGCTGTATTAATCTTGAATTCTCACGGGGTGTTGAGCAAGAGAGACTTTATGATAAGCTAAATTTAGAATAAAAACTTGGACGTCTCATTGCAGAGTAAGGGTTAACTAGCAAATCTCTCAATTGATTACTAGAGTAGTGAGGACAGTCATCACATATCGTCATCATATGCCAGATTATGCTAAGTTTAGTAAATATTAATGCAGCTTCAAAGGGACCAGTAACAATCAACAACGTGATTGCGCCAAACACCGACGATTTTAGACAATTTATTGAATTAGGATAATGAAAATGTATATCTCAAGTTATTTCTGTTCAGAATTAATTCCACAAATATCGGATACTTCAGTCTGAAAACAAAATACTTTTTTCTGGATTCAGCGACTTTCCGAAACTATTTTAAACAGAACAATAGGGACACACAGTGAGGATCTTCTACACAGAAGAATATGACATTTGGTGACGATCGGCGGTATGGTCGTGTTGCTATTTTACACAGAATAGGACACTCAGTGAAGATCGCTGGCACGGGTGGGCATGTTGCTATTTTACACAGAAGAATAGAACACTCAGTGAGTATAATTAGCGTGATCATGTTGCTATTTAACAAAGAAGAATAGGACACTCAGTGAGTATCCTTGGCGTGTTCATGTTACTATTTTACAATGAAGAATATGACACTCAGTGAGTATCATTAGCGTGATCACGTTGCTATTTTACAAAGAAATATAGGGCACTCAGTGAGTATCGTTGACATTGCCATGTTGCTATTTTACACAGAAGAATAAAACACTCAGTGAGTATCGTTGGCGTGATCATGCTGCTATTTTACAAAGAATAGGACACTCAGTGAGTATCGTTGGCATTGTCGTGTTGCTATTTTACACAGAAGAATAGAACACTTAGTGAGGATCGTTGGCGTGGTCATGTTGCTATTTTACACAGAAGAATAGAACACTCAGTGAGTATCGTTGGTGTGGTCATTTTGCTATTTTGCAATGAAGAATATGACATTCAGTGAGTATCGTGGGCCTGGTCATGTTGCTATTTTACAAAGAAGAATAGAACACTCAATGAGTATCGTTGGCGTGATTATGTTGTTATTTTACAAAGAAGAATAGAACACTCAGTGAGTATCGTTGGCGTGGTCATGTTGCTATTTTAAAATGAAGAATAGGACACTTGGTGAGGATCGTTGGTCTGGTTATGTTCCTATTTTACAATGAAGAATATGACAGTCAGTCAGTATCGTTTGCGTTGGCGTTGATATTTTACGCTGAAGAACAGAACACTCAGTGAGTATCGTTGGCCTCGTCATGTTGCTATTTTATAACGCAGAATAGGATACTCAGTGAGTATCGTTGACGTGGTCATGTTGCTATTTTACAATAAAGAATAGAACAATCAGTGAGAATCGTTGGCGTGGTCATGTTGCTATTTTACAATGAAGAATATGACACTCAGTGAGTATCGTTGGCCTGGTCATGATGCTATTTTACAATAAAAAATAGAACACTTGGTAGGATTGTTGGCGTGGTCATGTTGCTATGTTACAAATAAGAATAGAACACTCAGTGAGTATCGTAGGCGTGGTCATGTTGCTATTTTACAATGAAGTATATGACACTCAGTGAGTATCTTTCGCGTGGTCATGTTGCTATTTTACGATAAAGAATAGAACACTTGGTGAGGATCGTTGGCGTGGTCATGTTTCTATTTTACAATGAAGAATAGGATATACGGTGAGGATCGTTGGCGTAATCATGTTGCTACTTTGTACAGAAGAATAGAACACTCAGCGAGTATTGTTGGCGTGGTCATGTTGCTATTTTACACAGAAGAATCAGACACTCGGTACCGTTGGCGTGATCATATTGCTATTTTACACAGAAGAATATGACACTCA